CATCCCGGCTGTCCGTCCCCCCGGCAGCCGAGCCCCGCCTCCCAGAGGCAGCTGCCGTTTTCCTGTTATTGGACATCTTTTCAGAGATGCTCTCTGGGTGTTTAAGCTTCCACTTTCCTTCCTCGCTTTTCTCCCGCAGATAGTGGCAGAGTCTAGCTGTCATTTCGTCACCTTGCCTTTTCCCACCTGACAGCTTATGTTGGAGGCTGGTCCGTTTGCCATTGAAAGCGGTGGCGTGTGTGCGCGTGCAGTGAGCGAGCCTCTGCCACCCGCTCACTTCAGAGCCTCAGTTCCTGTCTCCCGTACGCAGTCATGAGGGCCTGGGCCGTCAGGTTGTTGAGATGAAAGGAGTTAATACGGGACCAGTTTACAAATGGTGCCTTAACCCACATAGGAACCCGCCCAGCCGTCTTATTAGAATGTGGATTCTGATTCAGCCAGTCTGGGGCGGAGCCTCAGCATCTGCATTTCCAGGCGGCCCCAGGCCGTCCAGAGGCTGCTGGTCCCTGGGCCAGGCTTTGAGTCCCAAGGCTGAGAACAGGACCTGGCTCAAGGTCCTAAATGAGAGCCGCTGTTATTGTTGTTGTTGCTAGTGTCATTGTTGCCACCGAGAGTGACTTACCCAGCCCCCCCGGGATGGGCAGCCGGGCGTTCTCCCGCCTTCTGCTCTTAGAAACACGGCTACCATGGAAAACCTCAGTGCACACGTCCCTGTCCACTCAAGAGCCTGTAGCTCCAGGAGAAATGCCAGCTGGTGACACTGTTGTTGTGGTTTTCATCGACATTCTTAACTTGCCCTCCTTCGAGGCCATTCCATTCGCGCCCGGCCAGCGACCCGTGAGGGCTCCTGATCGCCGGTCTTCGTCCACACAGGTTCTCAATCTCTTTGCCAACCCGATCGATGACAAACTAATCGGGATCCTGTCACGCCTCTTTGCCTCCCTCTGTCAGGTGCGAGGCTGAGCCCTTCGCGTGCCTTCCCTGAGCTCCGTCTCCGGGCGCCCTCTGCCCATCGTTCGATCGCGTGTGGTTCTCTCTCCTCTTTACGTTTTTTTCTTTACATTTTAGGGACGTTTGGCCCTTTGCGCTCTGAGCTGCAGACCAGTTCTCAGCTTTTAGTTTTTACTGTGGTTAATGCTGGGTTTTGCCGAGTCGATTCAGACAACGCAGCTGAACGTTGTAACCTTCTCCTGCATTGCTCCCCAAACTTCAGAAATTAGTCACCCAAGCCATGAGCCATATGCAAGGGGACCACAGAGTTCAGGACCACGCTTGTCTCGTTTCCAGGCCGGTCTTCTTTCTACTCATGGTCCCCAACCTCCCCATTCCTCTTCCCCGCTGCCCACGCCCCCTGACACTTAAAGGGGGTCCTCGAAGGTGCTGGATTTTTCCATCGTTTTATACTGGGCTGACAAACTATGCCCGGTGGACCAAATTCGGCACGCAGACTTTTTTGGTGTGGCCTGTGAGCTAAGAATAGTTTTCACATTTTAAATTTCACATTTGAAATCGTTGAGAAAAATCAAAAGAATATTTTGTGACATATAAAATTATATGCAATTCCCACATCAGCGTCTTAGCACACGGCCACACCCATTGGTTGATGTATTGTCTAGGCCCGTTTTCGTGTATAAGAGCAAAGTTAAGTAGTGTTCACAGAAACCGTAGGGCCCATAAAGCTGAAAATATTTATTATTGTTCAAAATATTATTTATAGAACGAGTTTGCAACCCTGCTGTATCCCAGCATTTCTCAAACTGCGTTCTGTGACGTGTCAGTGGGCGTCCCAGGGCAAAGAGAAAGAGATCACGATCAGTAACTGAGAAAGCCGGTGGATAAACAAAACCCATATCTGCAGAACTTATCAGGGCTTTTATTTTGCTGATGCCCATCGCCAATCTCCTGTCGGGGAATATGGCGCAGAGGGATGCCGAACTTCTTTGGCAATAGAATCATTCTACTCTTCTTTGTCCTTCAAAGCCCTTGTGTAGCTTCCCGGGGGTGAGGTAGAGCTGAGGCTAAGGCAAACTTGACTCTTTAGAGTGACCATGTCCTTGGATTTGACCCCAGTGGAGCCTGTGCTGCCATGGCTCCGGTGACCCAGATTTGGGTTTTCTCTTAAGTGACACTCAACTCAGTTACCTCTAGGGTCAGGTTTGCCATCATCTTGCTCCCCAAAAGTCAGGGTCTTTGTGCCCCTTCGCCTCCGGCTTCTGCCCCGACCCCAGGCTGTGGATAAGGCTCAGCACTTACTGAAGCGGCAGAGCCTGATGGGTAGAGCGTGGGCTCAGGAGCCAGTCAGACTCCCCAGGTTCAAATCCCAGCTCTGCTGTTTCTAGCCACGTGAGCCAGGGTGAGTCACGTAATGTCCCTCATCTGGAAAATGGGGTTAATAATAGTTTCCACCTCCCAGGGTGGTTGCGAAGGATTAGATGAGCTCATGCAAGTGAAGAGCTTAATTGCCCAACATGTGGTAGCTCCTTTGCTCAGCACAAATTAAGTGCTTTATGTCACTGTCCCCTGTAATCCTCGCCATTACCCGGTGAGCTAGATGCTATCATTACCATCCCATGGTACAGGTGAGGAAACCGAGGCCCCCGAGAGGTGACAGCTCCACATTCGGGCAGCTGCCTGGGGACCCCCCTCCGTCGTGGGGAGTGTAGCCTAGTGCTCGCAAGATGCTCCCTAGAGTCAGGACAAGGCTTAGACGCTGTACCCCGGACTCGGGGCCCATCCTCTTCCCTCCCAGTGGGCACTGGGGGCTGGGCACCCGGCCCGTCCAGGTGCTCTGCATGCCTGTTGGTGTGGTCGCCTGGGTCAGGGAAGGGGAGAAGTTTACCAGCTGGCCAATTAGGCGTGTAACTTTTTGGACCTTTTGGGGATGAGGTAAGGAGCGAGTGAGCCCAGCGTTTCTGAGACCTTGGGCTCTTGGTTTTCCTGCCACAGTGGTCCTTCGGCACGGCGTCCATCGAATCCCCAGGGAGGCACGGTGAGCGTGTGTTGTCCTGGGCTGTATCCCAGACCCACGGATGGATGAGTCCCAGGGTGGGCCCAGGAACCTGCTTTCTCTCACAAGCTCCTTGGGTAGCTTGGGGCCTGGCCCATGATAACAGTCTGGCCTCATGCCGTGCCCTGGGTTTTTTGGGGTACACCATTAATAATATGGTACTGGGCTGTCTGGCACCCTTCAGGTTCTGGGTCTAAACTTTTTCCTGTTAGATGTCTACACTGGTGAAAGACCAGCGGGGCCTGCTGGGAGGTCTGTGGACTCCAGAGTGTGTTTGCTGGGCAGCCTGGTGCCCACGCACTGCGTGACAGCCTGGTCCCTGCTCCAGGACCTTCTGTCAGCATAGCATAAAGTGTGAGCATCGTGGCCTCACACAGCACCTGCATGAGCCGAGGCCCTGGGGGGCGGCACCTGTGCCCACCTGGGAGGGGAGGAGATGGGGCACTGAGTCAGGGTGCAGCATCCAGTCCTTGTCCGAACTTAGGCAGCCTCCTGCGCCACTGGGTAGCTGCTGGAATCTGGAGCCCTGTCACCTGTCAGGGCCTCCGTTTCCTTACCTGTCCAGTGACACGTTGGTGACAGCGATGCGGGCGAGCCCCCGCATGCATCCTAGGGAGGCACAGACATCACAGACCTTAGGTCTGGCACGAGGTGAGCCCCTGCTCACCTGGTCTCCAAATGCTGCCCAGGACCACCCAGGAAGCAAGTGTCTGTTCCTTCTTCCTCTAGCTGAGGCCCTCCTGCTAGTCACCCCGCGGAGCGGCACAGCGGGACCTCCGCTTGGGGTGTGCCTGTGCGAGTGGGGGAGAAGGCCATAAACCCCCGGGCACCTGAGGCTCATCCGGGACCACCTGGGGAGCGTCATCTCATCTCCAGGACGGGATGCTGTGGGAAGGAGGGCTGGCGTCTGCTGGCTTTCCCTTAGTACGGAGAGACGAGAGGCAGCCCCTCCCCTTCCCAAGCCACGCGGGCTGTACCCCACCCCACCCACAGGCGGGTGAGAGAGGAGAGGGAAAAGTGGGGGGATCCTGACACATTCCAGCCCCATGGGAGTGGGCAGCTAGCCAGCTGACGGGGGGCCGTCCAGGCGGTGTTGGGGACAGCTGAGCCCGCACCGCAGGCCCGGCTCCATGCTCGGGCTCCTGTGCAGGCCCCGCAGTGGGACAGGCTAGCGGCTCCTGCACAGACTTCGGTGCCCGAGGCAGCCTCGTGTGATCTCTAGGTGCCCGGTCCCTTCATCAGTCCCACGGGTTTAATCGTGGCTGGCAGGAAGACAAGAGTGAGTCATGCACCGTGCCGAGCCCTGGGCCCCGCGCCCTGTCTGTGCCTGTGCGTGTTAGTTAGATAGTCTTCCTGCTGCTGCCGTTGGCGGTGTGTTGGTCTCACGATGGCCCTGCCCAGCAGCACCGTAGTTACTGTCAGCATCTTCCAGGTGAGGACGCCGAGGCCGAGAAGGCCAAGGAACTGGACCAGAGTCACCAGTGCAGAGTACACCTGGACGTCCCCACACGTTCTGACCTCAGCCCGTCTCTCTTTGCCGGAAAGCCTTCCAAGAATGTGGTCGCCAGGGACCAGACCCTGGGGCCGTGTGTAATTAATGAGCCCCTGCTGGGTACACGGCCAGACAGACAGAAGCCCGGGAGCCGCCAGCATCCTGGCTCCTTCCTGACCGTTCTTGCCGCATCCGCTTCCCTGGAGAGGGAAAATTTGAAAAAGCCCAGAAGATAGTGGGCTTCCCTCGGCTCCGATCGAAGGAGGCTGCACCTCAGAAGTGGCCGGGGCTGCATCTCACTTACATGGGCTCCTCCCTCCAAAAAAATATTAAATTTGTGATTTGTGACAGTGTTGGCACAAAGACGAATATAATCCCGGCTCGATTAAAAACTGAAACATTGTCTCCGACCCTAAATAGTTCATGTTTTGTCTTTTGAGATTAAGAGACGTTAAAACATTTTCACAGGTCCCTGAAAGTACCGTGGGCCTGGGCACCATGCTTGACGGGCAGGTCGGCCCTGGGCCCTGCATCCCAGACTGGGGAGTGATGCTGAATTCTCCCTGTCCCAGCACCTGGCTGCTAAAACCAGCTACCTACAGTCAACAGCCTCTTCGCCTGTTGGAAGGACATTTATTCGGTCAACAGCATTTGCATGTACCTACGGTGTGTCAGAGACTGTTTAGGCACTGGGGCTACGGCTGGAACAGAACAAGGCTTTTGCTGTCACGCTGCTTACGTTCCTGTAGGAGGAGGCAGAGTGTGAAGGGACCAGTTGCTGGGTCAGGGGTGAGGCCGTGAGGACGAGCTCTGAGTTCCGAGGACAGCTCAGGAGGGCTTCCTGCAGCTCCCCAGATCAATACGCTCGGTGTCCCCGGCCGCCTGCCAGGCTGGCCACGGGCAGCTGAAGACCACTCTGGGCTGGAGTGGTCTTTCATCCTTGCAGACATCAAAGCACCTGGTCATTTGCTCCCAAGATGAGACTCCAGCATCTTGTCCTAGTTTGCAGGGCCCTGCTCGTCTTCCTGGTTCCACAGAAGAAATAATTTGGAGGCTCCGATCCCAGAAGATGACCTGGCAGCCTCATTTCCCCATCTCACACCTCCTCCTGGTGGGCCTCCAGCTGCTGCCCGACATCCCCTGAGCTCCCAGACCAGGAGGCCCCCTTCTCCCTTGTCCAGCCCATCTCCGCCTCCTGAGTCGGACACACCCGTGTTCTGCGTGTCCATGTGCTAAGAGCCGCAGGCTCCTCTCTTCAGGGGCGAGAGCCGTGTTCCTTTTCTTGATCATCCAAGTGGGACGGATGGGATTGCAGGGCATTTAAGGGGTCGAGGGCATACGCTGTCCAAGTGTGATGCTCTTGCTGCAGCAGCTGGGGCTGGGCTGGGGATGGACCATTTGCCCAGGGTGGCCGTGGAGGCCAAGCCCGTAAGCCGAAGCTGGTGAGCCACCCGCCCCCAGCTCAGCTGGCTCCACGGGGCCCGTGCCTCGTGATCACTGCACATCCTGTTGTCCAGAAGCCCGAGCAACAGAGAAGAGAAGAGGCCTCGGTGACCCGGAGGCTGGGATCGGTCCTCCCAGGGCTGGGCGGACAGTGATGGCCGGCGTGGTTGGGTAACTGTGGCCAGGCAGATGTCACGAGCGTTAACTGGTCTCGCTTGTCACTTGGGCCTTGCTCCATCAAGAGAAGTGGCTAGAATTAATGTGTTTTGCACAATTAGTGAGGAACATTCTTATGCTGTGGGCCTCCTGGGGGCAGCCAATGGCCTTGGGCCTGGAAAACAAAGACGCCACAAGAAAACCGAGATGCCGCCCTGTCTGTGGGTGGGTTACGTCCCCTCCTTTCCCAAGAGGCCCCATTTGTGCTCCGTGCCTGCCCCTGGGGGCCTCCTGAGCTGGGCCTGCTGATTCTGCTCATGCCACAGGTCCCTGTCCTCAACTCGGAGTCCCGTGTCCTTCCCAGGCCTGCATCTACACCGCCGCCCACCTGGCTCACCTCTTGGAAGGCCTTGCTCCATGCGCCTCAGGGTAGCCGTCCTGCCTGTGAGGCCCGGGAGGCGGCCCATCCAAGCCCAGAGATCTCTCCCTTCCTCGTTTTCCCTGACGCCCACCTGGGCTCGTGATGGTTTGGCGTCAAGTGCGCAGGCTCTGTCAGCCGGTCCGGGGCGTGGCCTCCGTCCCCTCCCTCCCTGGCAGTGGATCCTGAATGGATGGCTTCCTGCCTGCGACCTCACCTTCCCCATCTGTAAATGCAAGATCAAAGGTCCTGTCCACGGAACAGAGTCAGCCCAGCCTCAGGTCAGAGCAAACGCTCAGAAATGGCTGTTTTATCTTTGTTGAGAACCAATAACACCAACTCAATATCGGGAATACTTCCATTGGCAAACGATGACAATAGGGTGCCTTATCTCATGGGGACACGGGTGGTTTCCTTTACAAGGCTGGAAGTACGACTCAATATCGGGAATACTTCCATTGGCAAACGATGTTTTCCTTTACAAGGCTGGAAGTACATGGAGTGGAGCAGGGTAGAGAGGAGGTCAGTGAACTTCTCCCGTCCAGCACCAGGTAGTAAATGGTTTAGGCTGCGTGGGTCGGACGTTCTGTCAGCTCCTCGACTGCCGTCATGACAGACCGTGTGTGGACGAACGCACATGGCTGCATTCCAACAAAACCGTCTGCAAGGATGGACAGCGGGCCGCTGTCCGCAGGCCCTGGGGTCGGAGTGTCAGCAGCAGCTAAGACGTGTTCCCTCCTGGCCTCACCACGTTGTGTGTGCTGGTGTCGTATCCTGAGGGTCAGCACAGCCCAGTTGGGACGACGGCTGCTTCCACGTCCCTGAGCCTGGAGGAAGAGGCAGGTGGACTGGATGAAGGCTGTCTCTTCCCGTCTGGCCTTCGTAGGGAGGAAGACATTTCTGAGAAGCCACAGCAGCCATCCTGGAAGGAGCTTCCGGCGAGGCTAGGAAGGGTCTAATTGGCAGCCTCCTCGGGTGGAAGAGACCAGGGACCAGGGCCATGGCAGCGGGGTCTATAGCCAGCGCCCTCGGCCTCACCGACCGCTCCTAGGACTGGGCCTTCACTTGGCTCTGGGGTGAGGGCAGAGCCTGCTCGGACAGCTCCCTGGACTCGTCAGGTGAAGATTCACGACAACAGATGGACAACTGGAGTGGGAAATAGGCCACACAACCGACTTCACTCCTGCTTTAGTAGCCTGCTCGGACAGCTCCCTGGACTCGTCAGGTGATGATTCACGAACAGATGGACAACTAGAGTGGGAAACAGGCCACACAACCGACTTCGCTCCTGCTTTAGACACAGAAATGAAAGCGTAGGTCCACACAAGAACCTGTGGATGTGTCTCATGGTTGTCACGATGCCCAGACTGGAAGCAGTCCAGCTGTCCTCCCCCACGCCAGTGGCCCCACGGCCTGCACACATCCATACTGCCGAACCCTGCTCAGCTACACAGAGGAACGAGCTGCTGACCCCCACAACACTGGGTGGGGGTGAATCTCAGAGACAGGCTGGTTGAAATGAGCCAAGGCAAAAACTGGGGGCGTTTACTCAGATGAAATGCCCAGAAAACGCAGAGCTGGAGCAGCCCAGGTCAGGAGCAGCGCCAGGCTGAGAGGGGGCAGGGTGTGGCCAGCAGATCCGCACCTTGGCACTGCTCCCACGTTTGGACCGGACCTTCATCTGCTGTGGGGCCGTCCTGTGTGCTATAGGGTGGTGAGCAGCATCTCTGGCTTCGGCCCGCTCAGCACCAGTAGCGTCCCTCTCCCAAGCTGTGACAATCAATGTCTCCAGACATTACCACGTGTCCCCTGGGTCCCAGAATCACCTCTGGGATAGAAGGGCATTCTTTCAGGGAAGAAACCAGTGAGTTCACTGCCTTGGGTGGGCCGACACCTCCCCATCACTTTGCTGCTGCCTGCAGAGGCATCAGCTATAATCAGACACCAGGAAAACCTTTCTGTCCTAACTTAGGGATCACCTCTTGGCAGATAAAATACAGTTAAATTTGAATTTCAGGTAAATAGCAAATAATTGCTTAACAATTATTTGGCTTCCTACATGTTGCAAACATTATTCATTTGTCTGAAATTCAGATTTAACTGGGTGTCCTGTATTTTTGTGTGCAAAATCTGGCAGCTCTATTCTTGGAAAAATCTTCAGGTATTTTTTTTTTAACTTATTAAACCTTGGCTACTATATAAATTTTTTTCAACTCTGCTAGAGGTACAAAGCTATGTTAGAATGTTATGTCTGCCTAGATCAATGAACTCATCTACCTCAGACCCTCTGCCTAGTGCATTTGGCCGGCTCCCTATTCAGTAAGACTTGCGCTGGACACGTAAATACAAATGATCAAAACAAACGCTTACATGTGCTAAGTAAAGTCTATATATTGTAACATCAAAAAATGAGAAGCAGTTCCTCTCCCAGCCAACCCACGTGTCCTCTTTTCCAGTACAATCTTCCTTGACCCTTTTGGGGAGTATTAGAACAAAAATGAACTTCATGTATGAACGAACTTGCCCACATATGTTCACATGCACTTTAAATTTCCTTCCTGCCACGTGTCATCACACTGACACCATGCGTAGCCCCTCACTTCGGGGCTGATCTGCGGGGACCTTTCTTCCTGGGGCCCCACGAGAGCCAGGGCCTGTCTCGTTGCTGTCACGACCCCCCCAGGGCGCAAAGCCGTGCTGGCTTGGAGGCTGCAGCGGGCGTACTGGTACCTGAGCCGTTCCAGTGGCTGGTCGCCGCTTCACGCCGCGCCCCCGAATTGAATCATCCTGTCTGGACAAGACCCACGTAGTCTCTCGGGTTTTGCAGTTAAAGACTTGGCCGCAGCAATTATCTTTGCCCCAGTGGCCCCTCACCACAGAATTCTGGCCACTCCCCTCGGCTGAAGCCTCCGTGGCTGCTGTCACACCTAGAACACGGTCCAAGCCGCCGCCGAGGCCCCCAGTGACCCGGCCTCACCCCGGCGGCCCCTCACTCTCTCTGGCATGACTGCCCTCCTCGCCGTCCCTCAAACGCAACACGCACGTCCCCGCTCCTGCACTCGGCATCTGCTGCTCCCTCTGCCGGGAGTGCACCTCCCCCAGGACCCCAAGGCTGAGTGGCCTTCCCTGACCAGTGCCCCCTTGTCCCCGAGCATACCTCCGTCTCTGGTCAGCTCCCGGGGTAACCGCTGCACCCACTCTTAGCCCAGTGCCTGGCCCACAGCGGGTGCTCCATAAATAGCTGCCGAACGAACTAATAAGTGACTAGATGAGGTGGTGGTTCAAGCCCGGGGCGCGACCTGCATGCCCGACTGCGGGAGAGGATGAGTTGAGGTCCAGCGGCTTCCAGGTGACAGCCCTCCGCGGCCGCAAGGGAGAGGCCGGTGTGCTCCCTGACGTGGGACGGTGTCCACGGCAAAATGCGTTAAAGCCAGGTTTGCGTGAAACAGCAAGGCGTGATCCCAGTCCTGAGGGCCCGCACGCGCGCTCCGGCGTGTCTGCGTGCGTGGTGGGCGGCTACACCGTGCGGCCCTAGAAGGACCCCGTGCGTAGTTCGATAGCTTTGCTGTCGCTGTCGTGAACTCGGTTCTTAATGACGTGTGGCCATTTCACTCTGCACCAGGCCCTGCGGATTCCGTGACCTGTCCTGGTGCCCGGGGATGGCCGGGCGACCGGCCCCCCAAATCGACCCTCTGTGTAGGAGCTCCAGGGGACTCTGCACCTTGCTCTGTTTGCAGTCCCCAGGTAGCGTTTATAACCCCACCACCCCGAGAAGCAACCCCCGGGGTGGTGGTTTAGGATGTGGGCCCCGGGCCGAGGGGGCTCCCAAGCTCGGGTGTGGTCCCTGCGCCATGTTGGGCGACCTTGACCCCATTCGGCAGTGGCGTACGGGGCGGCCCAGGGAGGAGACGCAGCATGTTTGCTGCACAAGGACAAGCTGGCGTCCTGGCTTCCGGCGACCAGCGTGCGCATCGTGGCTCCTCCGCTGCCCGGCCCCAGGCCTTAACCGCGGAGCCTGATTTCTCCTCGCAGCGTGAGGTCACGGGGTCCGCCCGTGGGGCTGTGCTGTGGGTTAGGTGGGCTGTGAGCGCTTCCTCTGCTGGCGGCATGGGAGGCATCCGTGCCTGCAGAAAACGGTCATCAGGAGCCCATGAGTGCCAGGCATCCTCGTCAAAACCTGGCACCGGGGTCTGGGCGGTGCATCTTCCCTAACTCCCCTCTGTTTGGCACTTAAAAAAAGTCGAGATAGAAAGCACACAACATAAAACGCATCGTTTTAAAGTGTGCGATTTGGTGATTTTTCTTATATTCACATTATCGTGCAGTTACCCCACTGTCTAATTCGAGAACATTTCCAGCACCCCGAAAAGAAATTTTCTGTTCAATAACACTCACCCTTCCATTATCTTCTCTCCCCGAGCCGCTGGCAACCGCTCATCTACTCGGTGTCTATGGATTTACCTATTCTGGACATTGCTGATGAATGAAATCCTACAACATGTGATGTTTTACAACGGGTCTCTTTCACTTGACATCACGTTTTCAAGGTTCGTCCACGTAGCAGGTGTCAGTACCTTGTTCCTCCCTAGGCGACTAGCATTCGACTGCATGGTCCCCGTGTTCTGTTTCTCTCTCCCTCTGCTGACGGACGTTTGGGTCGTTTGCACTTTTTGACTGTTGGGAATCGTGCCGCCGTGAACGGGTTTTCGTGAGAACCTCTTCTCTTAGGCGGGTGCCTAGGAGTGGGATCGCTGGGTCGTGTGAGAACTCTGTTTGACTTTTTAAAGAACTGCCAGGTGGTTCTGCAGAGTGTCTGCCCATTTTCATAGTCGCGCCAGCGTTGTCGGAGGGTCCCGGCTTCTCAGCGGCCCTCCGGCCCTCGTTTACAGCCCGCCTTCGTCCTGGGCACCTTAGAACGAAGGGACACCTCGTCGCAGTTTTCTGCGTTCCCAGCTCTTGTCGAAGGCGAATGTCCGCCGCATTGTCCTTCAGCTTTTAGGCTGGAAACTTCCTCTTTTCTCAAACGCAGTGAAAGAAGGACAGTGACCCACACCCGCCTCCAGGCCCCTGCTCTGGGCCATGCCCAGGATGGCTCGTTACCAGGTTCCTTAGTCCTCGGGCCTCGAAGGAAAGGGCGAGGACAACCCCCAAACAGCAGCTCGGACTCGATAATCAAGGGCTTTATTTGTCTTGGCGGTTGGGACGAGAAATGAGCTTCAGGGCCAGTTTGATCCAGCGGCTCAGTGATGACGGCAGAGACAGCCCGTGTGTCCCTCTGCTCCGCTTCCCCCTGGGCCGCCGCTCGAAAGCGCGATCCGCTCGTCACTGCACGATGGCTGTTTCCAGAGCTCCATCTGTCCCTCTTCCTTCAGTCCTG